ATTCTATTAATTATAAATGGATCTAATTTATATAAACCAAAGGAAATATTCATATTATTGTCAAAACTGCTTTTTATGAAACAAGATTCAATTATATTCCTGTCGACCATGGACTTGCTTGATACTACTTTCTCAACTTTTTGAAAATCAATTGGATGGTTAAAATCTCTTACATGAATAAATAGAGCATTGGAATCTTGAAGATTGAGACACTTATGCAGCATATGGGAATCTTTATTCAGGAAACGTTTTGCCACACAGTGGCTTCATCAGTCCAATACAAAGAGGAGGGCGTAAGGAGAGGAGGAGAATGAGGTAATCAGTCCCTCAACCTGGAGTCGATGTGTTCAGTCCATCAATCTTGTAGAATGTACAGCATAGGGCCGTAGACGTGGCTTATATACTGTAGTGAGGTGACGTGAAGCAGGTGGAGGCGGGGTCATAGTGGTACCATCCACTAGTCGAAGTAGGTCTTCGTCCAAAGGTTGAACAAGTGTTGAAGAATTCTTTGTAAGAAGATCCCATGATGCTGCAGTGTCTGACAGTTGTGATGAATGGTTTGAAAAACCGACATGTTGAAGATTGAGACACTTATGCAGCATATGGGAATCTTTATTCAGGAAACGTTTCGCCACACAGTGGCTTCATCAGTCCAATACAAAGAGGAGGACGTAAGGAGAGGAGGAGAATGAGGTAATCAGTCCCTCAACCTGGAGTCGATGTGTTCAGTCCATCAATCTTGTAGAATGTACAGCATAGGGCCGTAGACGTGGCTTATATACTGTAGTGAGGTGACGTGAAGCAGGTGGAGGCGGGGTCATAGTGGTACCATCCACTAGTCGAAGTAGGTCTTCGTCCAAAGGTTGAACAAGTGTTGAAGAATTCTTTGTTACATGATTCCCATATGCTGCATAAGTGTCTCAATCTTCAACATGTCGGTTTTTCAAACCATTCATCACAACTGTCAGACACTGCAGCATCATGGGATCTTGTTACAAAGAATTCTTCAACACTTGTTCAACCTTTGGACGAAGACCTACTTCGACTAGTGGATGGTACCACTATGACCCCGCCTCCACCTGCTTCACGTCACCTCACTACAGTATATAAGCCACGTCTACGGCCCTATGCTGTACATTCTACAAGATTGATGGACTGAACACATCGACTCCAGGTTGAGGGACTGATTACCTCATTCTCCTCCTCTCCTTACGCCCTCCTCTTTCTATTGGACTGATGAAGCCACTGTGTGGCGAAACGTTTCCTGAATAAAGATTCCCATATGCTGCATAAGTGTCTCAATCTTCAACATGTCGGTTTTTCAAACCATTCATCACATTGGAATCTTGTCCAGTTCTAATGCTATATTTATGTTGTTTTAATCTTAGTTCGAGATTTTTACCAGTTCGACCGTAATAAACTTTATCGCAAATTTTACAAGGAATCTTATAGACACATCCATCAGCATTTTGGGGGGAATTCTTTATCAAAAGTTTTTTTACTGTATCAAGATTTTTGAATACAACTTTAATATTAAAAGTCTTAAGAAGAGAAGGCATATCAACCAAGTTTTCATGGTAAGGGAGAACCAACAACTAAAAATATGTTGGTTCTCCCTTACCATGAAAACTTGGTTGATATGCCTTCTCTTCTTAAGACTTTTAATATTAAAGTTGTATTCAAAAATCTTGATACAGTAAAAAAAACTTTTGATAAAGAATTCCCCCCAAAATGCTGATGGATGTGTCTATAAGATTCCTTGTAAAATTTGCGATAAAGTTTATTACGGTCAAACTGCAGTCTTGCAAGGAACTAGGCCTCAAGATCTCGGCCGAGAAATCTCTTGCAATGATGTTCAAGGGACCAGATCCTGTGAATAGATTACGTATTCAGGATATAGAACTTGAGTGGACAGGCTCCTACCTGTACTTGGGAATCTACATTGATAAAAAGCTGACCTTTCAGAAACAGGCCGAGTATGTCAGGTCACGTGCTCTACTCAGACTCAACGCCATGAGAGCCATGATGAGGCACCGTGCAGGGGCAAGCAAAGATGTACTTCGCTTGTACTATATACAAGCTATACGCTCGCTCATTGACTACGGTGCACCGGCTTTAGCTCATCTCTTCCTGCAGAGCAGGCAAAGGGTGGAGGTCATACAAAACCAGGCGATAAGAACTATGCTTGGGGCCCCCATCTGGACCAACACAGTATGTCTCAGATCTGAGGCCCGGCTTCCTTCCCTGGCTGACAGAGTAAGATACATAAACGCCTGCAAAGTGGCCACGATTCTGCACAGGCAGCAAGGTACCCCACTAAGGAGACGGATATTGACAACCATGGCACAAGATCCCACACTCTTCACGGACTACTCCTGGATTCGTTCGTTTTGTGCTGCTGGGCGGAAGCTGCTGCCTATACAACTACTCCTTCAGAAGAGTTGTGACCTTCCTGTTGCTGGGTACCATCCAACACCTCCCTGGCGCCCAGATCCAGCCGATGTTTGTATCATGCAGCTACCCATCTCTAAGCGTCTCTGCAGTCAAGACACTCTCAGAAATCATGCTGAGACAAGCATGGCACTGGCAGAGGGAGGCACATGTGCAGTGTATTTCACAGATGGGTCTGTCGACCCTGACAGGAAGAGAGCAGCAGCTGGACTGTACCACAATGGTCACACACAAGGCTGGCGACTCCCTGACCACTGCACGATCCTTCAAGCTGATTATTATTATTATTATTATTATTATAATCAAGGGGGAAGCGCTAAACCCGGAGGATTATACAGCGCCTGGGGGGGGGGATGTGGAAGGCATTCAGGCTTAATTCGGGGACCTGGAGCACAGATCCAATTCCCTAAATCAAGAGCCCCTCACCTCCTTCAAGCTGAGCTGGCGGCGATTCAGCAGGCATTGTCACATGCCCTACGACATCGACTCCGACCTGTCATACATGTTGATTCCACGTCTGCAATCAATGCCCTCTCCCATCCTCAACCACAGGACAATGTTCACCTCATCACATCGATCCTGAGCATAATGACAGCCTTAGAAGTTCAGGGTAACAGATCGACATTGAACTGGATCCCCAGCCATGCTGGCATCCGGGGAAATGAGGCGGCAGATGATGCAGCCAAGACAGCAACAGACTATCCACATGTTTACCTGGAGTTTACCTGGAGAGAGTTTCGGGGGTCAACGCCCCCGCGGCCCGGTCTGTGACCAGGCCTCCTGGTGGATCAGCCCCTGATCAACCAGGCTGCTGCTGCTGGCTGCACGCAAACCAACGTACGAGCCACAGCCCGGCTGATCAGGAACTGACTTTAGGTGCTTGTCCAGTGCCAGCTTGAAGACTGCCAGGGGTCTGTTGGTAATCCCCCTTATGTGTGCTGGGAGGCAGTTGAACAGTCTCGAGCCCCTGACACTTATTGTATGGTCTCTTAACGTGCTAGGTGACACGTTGGGATTACTGTCCCAATCAGCCTACGACAGACCAAACTGGTGGCTACCAGAGCCATGAAACGTATGGGGGAGGTCTTAGGTGATACCCCATCTCAACAGTGGTACCGAGCAGCGACTCAGGGAGAACCCCCTCCATATGATAGAAGCTGGTCCAGAGCGCAGTGTACCGCCATCCATCGGCTTCGTTTGGGCTTTCCCACAGCCAAGATGATGGTAGACAAGGCTGAGGAGGAGATGTGCCAGTACTGTCAGCACGTTGTCCAGCGGCCACTAACACACTATCTTCTGGAGTGCGAAGTTACTGAGACACTCCGCAGGCAACTAGGAGTGATATTCCCTCCCGAAGAGGAACCAGAGATGACTGCGGCCACACTAGTGTACCATGGAGTCAACGAACCAGACAAGCTGTTACCTGTGATAACGACATATCCTCCTCCTCGCTAGTGTCCATAGTTAGGAGTACATACGGTGTTGTCGCTTATGAGATGCACCAGTTGAACTGACCAGAAGAGTGCTTGAGCAGCATGCGTCGCATCATTGTAGAAACCTTTCTCCCTCGGGAGCCAGAGACGGGTCATCGCAAGATTGAGACCCGTGCCAGGACTACGGTCTTGGCGAACATTATACATACATACATACTTTACTTTCATAGTTCCTTGATAATGTGAGTAGTCACGAAAGCGCTTGGAATTTCTCTATTCTTTCAGAGTGGTTGTTTTGCATATTCTGAAATGCCCTGTTTACTGTGATCTTATTGCATATTATATATATATATATATATATATATATATATATATATATATATATATATATATATATATATATTATATATATATATATATATATATATATATATTAAATCTTTCGTGGCATGTGTGTTTTGGTACTTGCGTGGGAGAGGTGCGGCATAATACTGTGACTAGCACTCTACCTCCATAGTCTGATAACAAAGAGGCATTCAGAACTATTGTGAAGACTTTCGTGAACATATGCATGATGGGCAAAACAGAGTCCATGAGTTTATTTGCAAACTTGCCCGACCACCCTACACAAGGCCCAGGGACAATGATGGTGGGTGATGGCTTGATGGTCTCAGCTCGATGTTGTACATAAAATGTTTTGCTGTGGAACGCACAGCGACTACAGCAGGACCCGGATCGTGGCCATAGAACAGCTGAATTAGATCGACATCTCCTTCGAGATTCCCTGACGGGTCATCTTAGGATTAACACACGTGTCAAGATGCAGTTCCTAACGAACCAAACAATCATCCAATTTACTCAAGTAAATCTGTTTGTGATTTGATAAAGCCCACTGTGTGGGCGAAACTTAGACAATAAAGGATCGCATTTTGCTGTATTGGTGTTTATTTTTCCATAGGAGGACTGTATAAACTTATTTAAATATTCTAATATTTGCGAGTGTCTCATTTAAAATTTGTAGGTATCTTATACCGTTTATTACCGAGTAAAACTCTGTACTGAATATGAACAATCTTGTTTCATGTTTAATGTTAAAATATAGATTTTTGGGTAATAGATAAATTCCTCACTTAATTAAGCTTTATCTTGCTGGAGTTCGTTGTCTTCTTTGTGAGCAACGTTGTTTGTGTGTGTGTGGGAACTGTTGAAGATACTCCACAACCACCTGTGAAGACGTCCACAGGAAGGACTCACAGCTCCGGGGACAAGGCAGCTGGGACTCAGTGCACCTAGAGACACACGTAAACAAATTATGTATGGCGTAGTTCTTAGTACATAGCTTCTAGCATACTACTCCAATCATTAAAATTAAAAAAGCAAACAACAGTTTTAGATATAAACCCTTACCATACAATATATTAAATTCTTTATCTTATTATTACTTATTTTTATATTATATTATTTATTATTTTTATTATTATTATTATTATTATTATTATTTTTTATTATTAACCTGAAAGTTTTAAATTATATAAGATATACAGCTCAGAAATATGAATTTGTGTTAGATTCGGTGAGGAGATAAAGTGTGGGACATTTGAGAACAATAACAGTAACGGTCAAGTCTGAACTTAAACTGCCTCACAGGAACCTCAGAAGAAAGTGATATTGATGAACAAGGTAATTCGATGAAAAAGGGAAAGGGAGGAGAGAACTTAAATTTACTGACAAGGAAGTTAGTGATGTGTGGATTATATTATATAATGAAGTATTCTCAGTGGAACCTTGGGCAATATCAAAAGACTAGGAGAAAGGGTGCACTGATAAGTAAAGGATACAATCAATACAACGGGTTGGGAAAAATGAACTTTTGTAGGTCCGGGAAAGTCGCCAGAGATCTGGAGGACAGTGAAACTAGTCTTTATATTTAAGAAATGAGACAGACTGCAGTCGTTAAACTACAGACTAGTTTCTCTGAAACGCATGCTTTGCAAGGTAAAAAAAGAAATTTATAAAGGGGAGAGAAACCTGTGAGACAGAAGAGAAGGATAGATCGTTGCATTTTCTTTAAAAGGCATTGATACTGTATTACACAAGACGATGGGCCAAAAACTTTAGGTGTATCAGGTAGATTAAATAATATCTTAGTAGAAGGAAGCAGAGAGTGACTATCAGGGAACAGACGTCAGAATGGAGGATAGTAACTAATGAGATTCCGTAAAGATCAGTAATACAATCAGTACTGTTAGTGTTTTTTGTAAATGGCATTCCAGAGGGGAACAGATTCATATACATCCCTGTAGGATGATGCTGTAAAACAGAGGAGCAAAATGAAAACAAATAATGACAAAGAAATCTCCAAACGTATATGTGCACGCAGCTAGATTGGTCAGATAAGAAATTACTTGAATTCAGTCCCACTAAATGCAAGGTCATAAATATTGAAGAAGCAGTAACAAGACTGGAAACATGGTATAGACTAAAAGGACAAAGGCTGCAGACTTCACTCAAAGAGAAGGAGTTGAAGGAGAGTATAGTGCCTGGTAAATTACCAGAGGTTCACATCAACTGGATAACCTTCGCAGCCAATACTCGTTTGGCAAATCTAAGAGTAACCTTTAGGAATCTCTTTCGTACAATATACGTCGGTTCTGTCTTGAAGAGAGCAGCACCAGTTTGGAACCCGCACCTGAAAAAAAACATATTAAGATACTGGAGAAATTTGCAGCTGTATGCAACAGCTTGTTCTGAACTGAGGGGCCCGAGCTACGTGGAGTCGTTAATAAAATTGAATTTAAACGACGCTGGAGGACAGAAGAACCTGGGACATAATAACAGCATACGAATTACTCAGGGAAATTGATGGTTAGCTAAGGGACGGGTTTTTATATGGTGAAAACGGAGACTCGAGGACACAAGAGGAAATTAAGACAGATGATCCCAAGGATGCTAGAAAGTGGATAGATGTCAAGAGGCAGGATGAAGGCAGACTCAACGAGGCTACGAGGGCGAAACGAGGCAAATGACAAGATGAAAGGCTGGACTAGGATATGAGAATCTTCCCCTACAAAATCTAATAGCTGAGTAAAAATAGATCGTAAACACAATACTCACACACACACACACACACACACACACACACACACACACACCACACACACACACACAGTTCAACACAAGAGATTAGTGCAAAAACTGGAGGACCAAGCAGGGATAACAGGGAAGGCACTACACTGGATCAGGGAATACTTGCCAGGAAGACAGCAGCGAGTCATGGTACGTGGCGAGGTGTCAAAGTGGGCACCTGTGACCAGTGGGGTCCCACAGGGGTCAGTACTAGGACCAGTGCTTTTTCTGGCATTTGTGAACAACACGACAGAAGAAATAGACTACGAAGTGCCCCTTTTTTGCAGATGACGTGAAGTTGATGAGAAGAATTCATTCGATCGAAGACCAGGCAGAACTACAAAGGGATCTGGACGGGCTGCAGACCTGGTCCAACAATTGGATCCTGGAGTTCAACCCCACCAAGTGTAAAGTCATGAAGATTGGGGAAGGGAAAAGAAGACCGCAGACGGAGTACAGTCTAGGGGGCCAGAGGACTACAAACCTCACTCAAGGAAAAAGATCTTGGGGTAAAGTTAAAACACAGGCACTTTCCCCTGAAGCGGACATCAACCAAAAAAGTGTTGCGCATATGGGTGCCTTAGCAAACCTCAGAACGCATTCCAACTTTTTTTAAATAAGGAATCGTTCAGGCCCCTGTACACCTTTGTACATTGGGCCCATATTGGAGTATGCGGCACCAGTTTGGAACCCACACCTAGCCAAGCACGTAAAAAACTAGAGAAAGTCCAAAGGTTTCAACAAGATAGTCCAAAACCCTAAGGGGTATGTCCTACGAGGAGAGGTTAAGGGAAATCGACCTTACGACACTGGAGGACAAAAAGAGATAGGGAGGACATGACAATGACATACAAAATATGAGAAGAAATTGAAAGGTGGACAAAGACAGGATGTTCCAGAGATGGGACACAGCAACAAGGGGACACAGTTGGAAGTTGAAGACACATTTTGAATCACAGGGATGTTAGGAAGTTTTCTTCAGCCACAGAGTAGTCAGGAAGTGGAATAGCTTTGGAAGTGATGTATTGGAGGCAGGTTTCATACATAGCTTAAGTAGAGGTATGATAAAGCTCATCTTCAGGGATAGTGGACCTAGTAGCGACCAGTGAAGAGGCGGGGGCTAGGAGCTAGGACTCGATCCCTGCAACCTCAACTAGGTGAGTTTCACATACACACAAACACACAACACACACACACACCTAGGATGAGAGCCAAGGGCCTAACAGACGAATCTGGGAGGGGGGATTGGTAGGCAGAGCTCATAAAAAAGGAGGAAGAATGGGGAAGGAGGCTAGATGGGCTTTCAAGGAAAATGGAGGAGAGGTTATCAGCAGAGTGCAGAATCTGGGAGCAACTGCCACAGTAGCAGAAGAAGCCAAGATAAAAGAGATTAGAAGAGGAGCTGAGAAATCTGAAAAAAGCCTAGTGATGAAGATAAAACAGAAGTTAGCATCAGCAAAGTTTACATCAGACACAGACAAAGGGTCTGGAGGGAGATGGAAGCTAAATAAATATATGCAAAAGGTCCTGTCAAAACCACATGGGGCCAAAACAAAGACAGGGAGCACACTAGGACAGTATGAGAGGTCGGAAGACATTGGAGGAAATAGGACATATGCGGGACTTTACCAGACACTTGTGGGGCCAGGAACAGGGGAGCAGGAAGGACAAACCAATGAGCATAGGGGCCACAGCTAGGGAAGGGATTGAAGGAAGGAACACTCCATGGGAAGGAGCTAAAACACCTCAGAGGTTTCAATGGGAGTCACGTGGGAGGTGGAAAGGGGAGAGATCAGTTTTGTCTATGGGCTAGACGAAGCTGAAGGGGAAACCTATGATGAAAGAAAACAGGAGGAGAAAAAGCGATTGAAGGTATCATGAAGGTGATAGGTGAGGGGGACATGACCCAGGTGGCAAATTTTCAGAGAATCAGGTGGTTCACAAAGAGAAGGAAATGGCCTCTCAAAGTAATTTTTTAAGGCAGAAAACAACTCGAACCATGATCCTGCAGGAGAAAGCACGGCTGAGAGGCAAACAGGAGTTCAAGAGTGTGTACCTCGATCGAGACAGACACAGGAGGAAAGGATTTATACTGAAAGTGAGAGTGGAAAAAACTAAAGGAGGGAATGGGAGGAAATGACAAAGAAAAGCAGAAAAAGCCAGGCACAGGTGGAAGGGCAAGCACCACCCCTAAAAAACATCTGCAGAAGGGCTCCCAAACCCCGACACCCCCAAGGCAACTGAACAATCTAAACCAACAATCACACATGATTTCCCCCTGTTTTTCACCCCCTGCACCACGAACCCTACCCCTACAGCAACACCTTATGAGAGCTCTTCCTCCACCTCCACTGCAACCCCCACAGGCTCCCCCCAGGGCTCCTGCTCTCCCAACCCCATTTTTTCCCAGGACCACAGTTTAGTATTAGAACAGAAGTTGAAGGTTTGGTACACAAATGCGGATGGATTAACGAATAAATATGAGTGGCAAAAAATAATCAATGAGAAGTACCCAGAATCATAGCAAATTACAGAAACAAAACTCACTGAGACAATAACAGATGCAAACTTCCCACCAGGATTTTAAATCATGAGGAAAGATAGAAGGGGCAGAGGGGAAGGAGGGGTTGCTTGCTCGTAAAAAACCGATGGAAATCGTAATGACCGATTGCAAACAAAACCATTACCCCCGCCGGGATTGAACCGCGGTCATAGAGTCTCAAAACTCAAGCCCGTCGCGTTAGCCTAGACCAGCTAGCCACAATAAGATTCATCCAACTAGGTATATTTCTACACCATAGGAAGGTTAGCACAGGCCCTTTCCGTCATGTTGACGGCAGTGAAGGGACTTGAGCTAGAGTTCGTCACGGCCACGCTAGCTGGAGATTCGTCTGTAAAAACTTGCATTTTGTGGTCACAGAGGTGCTGTGCTAACCTTCCTATGGTGTAGAAATATACCTAGTTGGATGAATCTTATTGTGGCTAGCTGGTTTTAGTGGCTTAACGCGACGGGCTGGAGTTTTGAGACTCTATGGGCCGCGGGTTCAATCCCGGCCGGGGGTATGGTTTCTTTGCAATCGTGTCTTACGATTTCTTGAGTCATGTTGACGGCAGTGAAGGGACTTGAGCTAGAGTTCGTCACGGCCCCGCTAGCTGGAGATTC